TCCACACTTTTTAACTTCCTTGATAATGGAATAATAAGTGTGGTGCTGTAGGGACTAACTGTAATGACAGTTATGTCAAGCGGTCCTTGTAACAGTCACCCACGGAGTGTCCCCAATCTCCAACCTTGCCTTTAGCATGTCTGCAGACTCTGACAATCTCCTGTAGAAATTCCAGTCTAATTCCTCCAGCCGATATTTGAGGGGCAGAGCAGGTGTCTGTGTTGGGGGGGATGGATGCCAAATAAAGATGGGCTCAGCAGATGGAGATGTAAAGTTAAGTGAGACCCATAGAGAGGGGTGTATTGTAGGGGGAAACTCAGTGGAGAGGGTAAACAATAGAGGGAGGGCAAGTGGAGGGGGGTGTACTGTAAAGAGATGCCCAGGTTGGGGGATTTATACTAAAGTGAAGCCCAGTGGAAGGGTAGTACATTAGAGGGAGGTGTGGGGGAGATATATACTAACGTGAGGCCCAGTTGAAGAGTTGTATGGTGGAGGTAGACCAAGTTGAGGGGTTGTACAGTAGAGGTAGGCCCAAGTGAGGGATTGAACAGTATTTGGAGACCCAGTTGAAGGGTTGTACAGTGGAGGTAGGTCCAATTGAAGGGTTGCACAGTAGAGGGAGGCCAAGTTGAAGGGTTGTACAGTAGTGGTAGGCAGAGCCGTAGCTAGCTCCTTTTGCGCCCGAGGAAAGAACAGAAAATGGTGCCCCCCCCCCCAACAGACGTGGGCGGTATGTGATTTTTTTTTAATAACATTTTTTTCTACTGTTGGGGGGCTTCGGGAAATATTGGGGGGTCTAAACAGACCCATGACATTTCCCTTTTGAAATAGAAAAAGAGATTGAGGACACAGAGTCCTCTGCCCATACAGGTGGGGGAGAGCAACGTGGATCGGAGGAGAAGCTGGAGCCTGTGCTGCTCCTTTTCTCCCTGCGGAGCCGGGGCTGTGTTGGCCGCCTGGCGCCCCTGTTGCCTATGGTGCCATGTGCTCGCCATGGCAATAGGGGCGCAGCCAGTTCAGGCTGCACCCCCTCTCAGCTGCGCCTGAGTCGAGTGCCTCTCTCGCCCCATGGGAGCTACAGCCCTGGTGGTAGGCCCAATTGAGGAGTTATACAGTGGAGGTAGGCCCAGTTGAAGGGTTGTACTGTGGAGGTAGGCCCAGTTGAAGGGTTGTACAGTGGGCGTAGCCCCAATTGAGGGGTTGTACAGTAGAGGGAGGCCAAGTTGAAGGGTTGTACAGTGGAAGTGGGCCCAATTGAGGAGTTATACAGTGGAGGTAGGCCTAATTGAGGAGTTATACAGTGGAGGTAGGCCCAATTGAGGAGTTATACAGTGGAAGTAGGCCCAATTGAGGAGTTATACAGTGGAGGTAGGCCTAATTGAGGAGTTATACAGTGGAGGTAGGCCCAATTGAGGAGTTATACAGTGGAGGTAGGCCCAATTGAGTTCTACAGTGGAGGTAGGCCCAATTGAGGGCTTGTACAGTAGAGGGAGGCCCAATTGAGGAGTTATACAGTGGAGGTAGGCCCAGTTGAAGGGTTGTACAGTGGGCGTAGCCCCAATTGAGGGGTTGTACAGTAGAGGGAGGCCAAGTTGAAGGGTTGTACAGTGGAAGTGGGCCCAATTGAGGAGTTATACAGTGGAGGTAGGCCCAGTTGAAGGATTGTACAGTGGAGGTAGGCCCAATTGAGGGCTTGTACAGTAGAGGGAGGCCAAGTTGAAGGGTTGTACAGTGGAGGTAGGCCCAATTGAGGAGTTATACAGTGGACGTTGGCCCAGTTAAAGGATTGTACAGTGGACGTGGGCCCAGTTGAGAAGGTCAGTGGATGGTGGTTTACAGGAAAGGAAGGCCTAGCACAGTGGTGCCCATTAGGTTGATCGCGATCTACCAGTCGATCGCAAAGCGATCCCTGTAGATCGTGATGTCCTGTCCTCCTGCCATGGGGCTTCTCTGGATCCCCGCTGCCCTCCCCCATCTGTATGCAGCGGGGATCCGAGAAGTGAACGAAGCGCTGCAGGCGGGGGTGGAGCTGCTATCAAAGCAGCACGCCGAGCGGTGAGGAGAGAGACAGCCGCTCGGCCTGTATCTGACAGCCGGCGGCTTCGTCTCTCCTCACCGCACATGCTGCTGTGACAGCGGCTCCGTCTGAATGCCCCCCCCTCCACAGCTTTCCTCACTTCTCGTCGGATGCCCCGCTGGCTCTGCCCGGGAGAGCAGCGGAGATCCAGAGGAGAAGCTGAGCCCCCGTGTGCGTGGTCGAGCGTTAGAGGATCGGTACATATCAGTGATATGTACCAATCCTCTGTGCAGGACAAACACTGGAGCGATCAGCTGATCACTCCAGTGTTTGTAAATAACTGGGGACACATAGTACTATGTGTCCCCAGTTATGAATGAACAGGATGTGATTTACATCACTTCCTGTTCATTCATGAGATTCTCAATGGGGAGTAGCACTCCGTACAGAGGCTCCTCCCCATTCAGAAACTGCTTGATAGTAAATAGTTTCTGAATGAATAGGAAGCCTCTGTACTGAGTGCTTTCCATTCATTTAGAACAGAGGCTGCAGAAAAAGAGATTGAGGACTTTATGTCCTCAATTTCTTTTTCTATTTTAAAAGGTAAATATCAGGGGA